GACAACGCCTGGAAATGAGCTTTTCTACAGTATTTTTTCATATTTATGCTGTTTCATCAATGTCCCTATCAAGTAAATAAGTGAAAACAGTTAGGTACATCAGCTTTAAAATAGAAACCTGTCATCAGTCGTCGATTCTTGGAAACGTCAGCCAAAACCTTGACAGTGTAAATGTTATGTGGGACATTCAAATAGTGATATCTCCCATGTGTGTGCTTTATCTCGTAACCAAGACTTGCTTACGAGTCAAGTCTTGGTGAGCGGTGAGTAGTGAGATGGAGCCGCACGAGGTTTCCCCAGCACTCGGGCCAAGTCTGGGGCCATTGTTTTGAGTGGTTTTGGAATAATGGACAGCTCCGCTGATTCGCTGGTGTTTCCTGTGTAGACTCTACTCTGCTCTTATCGTGTGCTCAGAGAGGGAGGGGTGTGAAGAGCTCAGAGTTGGGGTTTTCCAATAAGATTTATTTCTTGACTGTACTGTACCTACCAACTCTCGAGATGAACTAACTGTAGATTCTCAAGATTGTGTCATTTCCCTTAAAGTTTACATACAGCGTTGTCGTTATAAATGTGTGTTTCCCTGTTTGGGCACGACGCGATCATGCAAGATGGTGGGCGCAGATAAGATAAGAATTTGGCGGTCGCCTGCTCTCGCTCCAAAAAGAGGAAATAGCAAGGAGATGGGATTTTCAATTTGCATTCTCAATGGACTGACAAGAAACAGGAGAACTTGGCTGTGTTACAAATATGAAGCTACGAGTTCAGACTGTTCAACACAGAATGTATAGATAAAAAGGTAAAGTTTGAGTTGGTGAGAAAGTAAGTAACATTTATTTATATAGCGCAATTCACAGTCTTCTCTTACTGTCTTTATACTTAGTCACTTTGTCCAACCTCATGCTGCTAACATGTACATATACGACTAAATATTTCTTGCAGTAGACTATCTAGTATTTTATGAATTTGCCAACTTTGTCAAAATTCTGCTGCTAGACTTTAACAGGTGCCCCTCGAAGGTCCCATATCACTCCTGTTCTGTCTGTTCTTCACTGGCTCCCAGTAAAATTCAGCATTGATTTTAAGATTTTAGTGCTGACCTTCAGAGCCTTAAATGGTCAGCCCCCCAGTACATCCTGAACCTTTTGAGCCTGTACTCCTCTGGCCGCACTCTCCGGTCCTCTGGCCAGAACCTGCTTGTGGTCCTCAAAACCCATTAAAAGACTCGAGGGGACCTGTCTTTTCAGTCTGTTGCCCCCAGACCGTGGGACGCCCTGCCCCTGTCCCTACATCTGGCCGACTCTGTGGACTCTTTTAAAAAAGGCTTGAAGACTTATTTATTCAAGAAAGCTTTTAGTTGATTGGGTTCTCACTAATGTCACTTTTAAGTACATGTGTGTAAATGTATTTTATATTGTTTCGTCTTTGTCCACTGTCCTGTACAGCACTTTGTGATTCTTATCTGTGAAAAGCGCTTTATAAATAAACTTTACTTACTTACTTACTTACTTACTTACTCCTCATTCATACTGTCCTAAAATCGGTGACACAACACTGAAATTTCCCCACTGTGGGACGAATAATAAAGCTTTTAATCTTAATTTACTGCATAGACAAAGCACTTTACAATGCTAAGCCCAGTCTTAAGTAAAATCATAAACAATGTCCCGTATATGTATATGAATTATGAATTATCAGTAAAACAAGAATACACCGGGTGACACTGGGAGCTAAATCTGTTTCATGATGTTAACTTTTACTGACCTTTATAATCACATGTCTAAAATATCCTCCGTTTTATTGCCGAGCATGTCTTCTTGAGGTAAAACATAAATCACAGGTGAACCGTGTCAAAACAGGCCCCCGGGTCAATGGAGTTCAGTCATGTTCTTCCAATTGACTAATTCTACAGCCAGGGAGAAAAATGTCATTGTACCCTGCAGGAAAACAGTTGCAGATATAGTAAACATGGAATTGACAATTTACCTCAATCTCAACCGATTGGTTAGTAGTAGTAGTAGTAGTAGTAGTAATGCCAGTGGTAGTAGTAGTAGTAGTAGTGGTGGTGGGTTTTAGTGGATTTGGACAGGTGGGATTCTCAGGCTATAACAAGATACTGCAGGTATAACTTTTTTCCCCGAACTGGGTTACTCTGGTCTATGATCCCGCACACAGACACACACACGCACACACATACGCACACATGCACACACACAAAAACAAGATGTAGAATGGTATAGAGACATGTTAGTTGAGTTATACTTGCATGCAAAAGCTAGATTCCGATTGACCTCTGTTGCTGTGCAGGGCAGGGCTTGGTTAGTACTGTGATGGGAGACCTCTGGGAACCCCAGGTGCCACATTGGGGCGGCTGCGGGTGTAAAGTGCCAAACTGTCATTGTGTCTTTAGGCACTTCACCCACATTGCCTAGAATGAGTCTGGTATTTGTGTGAATGATTGGTGGTAGTCGGAGGGTCGATGGCATATACTGGTTGCCTCGGTTCTGTCAGTGTGCCCCGGGGCAGCTGTGGCTACAGTAATAGTTTATCACCACCATAAATGGAGGGAGTGAATAATGACATGTGAAGGGTCTTAAAAGTGCTATATAAAACCGATGCATTAATATTATCAGTTATGGTATCAGTTCGTGGTTAAACAGGTTTCTTTCTGTAACTCTCTATGCTAATTTTGCCACATTTGTTTGCACCAGAAGTTCCTAATATTTCTGTGGCTGGACGGGAAAACAACTTTAAAAGCTCAAAACTATTTCACAGTAGAAGCACTGGTATTTTTTCTATAGCCGCAATGCATGCCTCTTAAGAACACTCAGAACCTGCAGCTAAACTTTCCTACCCTCACCACCCGTTCTTTAGTGAAGCATTTTGACACCAGCGCATAGTAACAGCTCCATTACATATTATCCTCCTCCTCCTCCACCTGCTTAACTTATTACCAAACCGTTAACAGAAGCTGGACGGCTACATTTTCACTGCGTTCCCTCTGCTTGGACTTCTGACCTCTCTGTCCCACATTTGTCTGACCCCATATAACTACTGCTCCTCTCGCTGGCAACTGCGAGTCAAAACGTCGAGCAAGTTCACCATACCGGCTCCAATGCCCGAGGTCAGATCAAGTGTGCAGCCTTCACATTTGTAGATTGATTAGTGCAAGTCAATTAGGCAGAAGTCAGATATACCAGGTGGCCTTACGTTTGTTTATATCTTTGATTTCGCCGCCAGCTACGTGTGCACTTTCAAGTAGCTCTGATGCCCAGCCGCTCTAAGCATGGAGTAAACAAAACATTAGGTCATCATAAATCACATGATGTCTGGACTGGGTAAGCTGTTGCAGAGTATAGAGTATAGAGAGGGCTCCCCGCTCCAGCCTGGTCCCAAAAGTGTAAGGTCGTTATTCAAATTGCAGGTCAATTAAGATAAGGGTAAATTACTTTCTCTGTGTTTGAAGTCAGGGGGATTTTGGAGCTCCTGCAAAATGGAGAGATCACATGGTTGTGCTTTGATGTTTTGCCGGTGTTGAAGAGGAAGTATGTTTAGGCAATGCTAAACAACACAGCTAACATGATTTTGTGTCATCTGTCATGTAGGTTATAGAGTGAAAAGTGTTTTTTTGTTGACACCGGAGCAACAGGAGGAAACCAACACAGATGGAAGTAGTAGAATATGTACAGTATGTAGTAGATATAGATCAGGGATGTGAAACCGGTCCTCAAAGGGCTGGTGTGGCTGCAGGTTTTAGGAGCAGAGCTGACTTAGTCCAGTTTTAACCTGAAGATTTGAGGAAATGGGTGGAGTCTGTTGTGCTCCTGCTCAGGTTGGGACTAAAACCTGTAGCCACACCTGCCCTTACCGGAACCAGTTTGACACCCTTGATATAGATCAATAATAATAATAATGTCTTCTGCATTTGACCCATCCTTCAATACAAGTGGTCATCACAGTGGGGCACCCAGGGACCCCTTTCTTGTTGTTGATACTCGGCTTGGTTATGACCACCATAGCTGGAGGATTTTATTTAATATACATGGGTTTTGTGGTGGAGAAATTGAAGCCACTTTTTATGCTGACCAGGATTCTTACCAAGGACCTAGAAAAGTGAGAGGGCTAATGACTTTGACACCCTGTTGCTTCAAAAAGAAAAGTGTTTAGTCAGATTCGTCTTCGCCACATACAGAAACTTTTTTGTTTAAGTTTGTCCTTTTTACTCTTTCTGTATAAACCATTGGTACCAAGTTTCGTAGGAGTATATTCTACATAAGAACTACAATATATTGAACTGCTTATTACATGACTTAGCACTGATACTTATTTAAAATCAATTTATTCTTGTATAGTCCTAAATCACAACAGTAGTTATCTCGGAGGACTTAACGAAACCATTGAATTTGCCAAAACAGATCAGAGAATCAAGCAGTTCAAACACAAGAAATGTACTGATAAAAAACACAAAGAGCCATTGGTCCATAAGGGACAGATGACCAGTGTCCATAAATGTTGATAAATGTCCATAAATGTTGAATCTCCTGGATAATCACCACTGTCCTTTAAAATAATAATAATATAATACCAATAAAGAATAATAAAGAAAATTTGGATATCAGCATGACATAGTCTACAGGACAGATGGACGAAGAAGTCAACCATTTCAACTGTGTCACAATAGGAAATATGACGTTTTATGCGCCGTAAAGTTAATTCGCATGATCATAACTTCTGAGACATGATCCTGCAGCATTTGTCATTTCATTCAAGCGGCAAACCCATGTGACCTTTCATTCATTCAACGAGAGGCGCCGGGCATGATGTCTTCGAGGCCACGTCATCTGTAGGACCGTACTATACATTGTGTGCTGTGCTGTAATTACACGCTGAATAATTAGCAATGAACCAAGCAACGTAATGCATTCAAACATTCTGATCCTTTGTGTACCGTTGAACCTGTTCGTGGCTCCATTGTCCTGAGTTTCTGCTGTAAACACGGGACTTCAGAGGCTTCGGTGGATGTTTACACCAACTGCAGATGGAGCTGATTCGAGCTGGTCCTGTGTGGAGCCCCTACCTCCACCAACACTCACAAACACCTGCAAGATTATGTAGAACAATGTAAGAGATAGCACGCTCTTGCTATTGTGAATATAGCATAATTTTATGTTGTGTTAAGTAAATAAGTCTGGACCAAAATCTGGACTTTGCCGTTTATATTGTGTTCATATGTTTTATTAATGTACTGGGATTATTTATGATTTTAATGCCTTGTGTTTCTATCTTGTTTTGTTCAGGACTCTGAGTGAATGGATGGTGCTATACAGATAAACTGGCCTTGCCTTGCCCTGTTTGTATGGGGTCCATTGTGGTTTTTATGTGTTTTTTAAATGTTTTTCTGCCCTGTGCTGCTCAAACAAGTTGCCCGTGGTGGGATAAATAAAGTAGTCTGGATCTGAATCTGAATCTACGTGATCTTTGGTTTTAAAGCGCATTTCCCGGACTATTAAGGTCCCATAAAGCACATAATCTGGTGTATTTTTACGACACTAAACATACTGTGAGAATGTGGTACTTCTGCCCGTCGGCCGACCCTGATAGTAGTGGAGCCCCTGGAGGAAACCTACCCAGACTCAGGGAGAACATGCAAACTCAACACACAAGGCCCCGGTCTGACATGGGCATCGAACCCAGGGCCGTCGTGCCTTGATGCAGGATCGCTTTCTGCTGTGCCACCATTTATGAGAATCACATATTAAAGTAATGTATTGTTTCAGATAATTTGTTGAATGAGAAGCATGTGGAAACATCCAAACCACTATTTGTTGTTGGTTCTAACTTCATATATTGTGTTGGATGGATTTTATATTTTATTATGAAAGTAAATAGTATAGTCTGAAAACTGCACTTTATTTTTCCTCTGTGAAGTTCTCCTTTTATAGTATATATATTTTTTTTTTACTTAAGTCTTGAAAGATTTTGAGTGCTCTTTTTTTCCTACTGTCCTTGTTGTAACAAATCTCCCTTTTTTGGATCCAATACTTGGTGTCATTCTGGGACATTTTGACTCAAAATTGGACCACGTTTTAGTAAAATCCCAGCGACCTTCATTACTGTTGTTTACTGTACTCAGCATCAGACAATACTCTACTGTGAAGATGGTTCATCCTGTGTGTCCCCGGTGTCAACTCCACAAATTATTTCAGACTTGCTTCCTGTGAAACCATAAAATGTAACAGTCGTGCTTTAAATCATTTTTATTTCTAGTCTGCTCTCCTTTCGCTCAGAGGCATTTCACGTCATGCTGAATTCTGTCATTACCCAGTGTTTTTGTGCACGGTGCTTTGTGCACATGCTGCAGGAGGTCTTTCAATCTGCAATCTGCAATATTCAAGTCCACTCTTGAAAATATAAATTGTCCAAACCATAATAGATATTTTTCTCATCACAAACCAAATTTATTATTTATTTATTTATTATTCCATTCTCTGTGTTCTATTGTTTGTTCCGTTGTTTTAGAATCAACCATTTTGTAAAGTCCTCCAAGACGCCAGCTGTTGTGATCTAGGTCATACAACAATCAATTGATTTGAACAATTCAAACCATTTGGTTATTGACCTAATAAGAACATTTGTCCTCTGACAAATGACACTCGGGCCCCTGTTTGGGACCCATCTGTAGATGGTGACGCTCGGCTTGCTCAGGGCTACAGCAGCTGTATCCTGCTTTATTGAAAACGTAAATGTAAGGATGATAAATACTGTGAAATACATAGTGTTGCATGATATTGAAGGAGTCAATACTCAACATGATTATAATGCTGCAACAATGATAATCTATATTTAATGTGACAAAATCCCATAGGAACACAGCCTGAGAGGTGTGAGCCGAATATATGAATTTGTTTTAATTACGCCCCATGTGTAAAAATATGTCCTTACAGTAAATGGGCTTGCGTCTCTGCAAACCTGTCTTTTACTGATCCTGGAATAGGGCCTCCTCCTGTTTTTGTTTTGTAGGAAGTGACTTCATCATCCATGGCAATAAGCATATATTTTCAAAAGAGGATGCTTTCTAGTTTGATTTTAAAGCTGAGCAACCTGACTTTCAAACCACAAAAGAATATAACAATATTCAAATCTATATGGCTGTTTGGATCGACTACATACCTTTTCTGTCACAGCTTCAGATCAGCAAAAGATAACATATTTTAAGATAAGGCCATGTTTGTGGTCTGATTTGTTGATATTTTACTTATTACTTAGTTACCACTCTGTACAAACAGCAACTTGAAACAAAAAAGTGACCCCAATCCTGGCATAGATGTTCCACCTCCAAAAAGTTATATGTACTATTTCTTTAGTACTTAAACATTTTCCCACAATAATTGTCTTGCTTTCCTCCACTTTCCACCTCGAGTTATCCGCCCATCTCGTGACCTCCAGACCCCGCTGCTTGTCTGCCTGTCAGCCGGCGTGTAGGGCTGTATTCAGAGGCAGAGCGCGCACTGTCAGATGAAGGCTGTGGCTCCGGACGTCCACAAAAGGAGCTCTTAGGCGCTGCTGAAGTTACGCTCCGGGCAGTGTCTGCGCTGATGGCAGGAGACAGCGAATACAGCACAGCTCATTTATCACTGTCCGACAGGCTCCTGGTGACAGTAACAGGAGAAGCGACATCAGACACTGGGGCACACTCCCGTCTCTGCTGTTTGTGCACGGACTACATCCAATGGAGGTCCACGTTGTATTATATCCCCTTTTCCATGCTGGGCCCTGGTAGCAAAAACTGGACTTAATTGGCTAAAACAAGTCAGAAATGGGGATCAGTGCTAAAACAAGTGATTTTATTCTTTATAATGTACTGTCCGAGGGTGGGAGTTCTTAAAGGGAGTTCTTAAAGGTGGGAATCTTAAAGATATATAGGAGGATTTTCTGCTTTGCCGTTTATTTCTGAACAATTTTTACAACTTTATTGACCATGATGCAGTTTTGTTAAAAGAAAAGACAGAGTTTTGAGCTGGATTTTTGTCAGTAAAACCAAACATACTGTGAATTTGTGTATTTTCATGTATTGTTGATTTTTCCATGTTGTTCTTTGTTCTTGTTTGCTGTGGCTCTTTTTGTTCGTTCATAAAGTATTCATTCATTCATTCATTCTGTGATTATTTATTATTTGAATGCCTTGTGTATTAACTGTGCAACACAAATAAACTTGCCTTGTCTTTCTTTCTTAATGAAATACCAAACATAACATTTGCAGTTTGTCTTTGACGATCATTACACCAAGTTAGACATGTTTAAAGCTGGGGTACGTAACTTTTGTGCTACAGAGATAATACATGTTTGTTCCCGACAGAAATAGTCTTGTAAACGTAAACAAGCCGTCTTCATCTTCCTTCAAAAAGATGGGTTTGTTATTTGTAAGACAGAGCTTTGTGAGTCACTGCTTATGTTTTGGGCTGACAGCTGATTGGCTGAGGGAGGGCGGTCCTCTCTTTTATCCTTTTCTTTCTGAAAAAGGTGAACTAAACTGTGAAAGAGGTAGTTAGAACCGACCAGTGGCTAGTTGGGTTTTTAGCATAGTTCTGTTGCTGGAGTTTGAACCCACTGGAAAACAATCACAGGTAGTTACTATTGTTATAAAGTGGTCAACTGATTCAACTCAGAACTGGACCAGAACTGGACCAAAACTGGATCAGAACTGGACCTGAACTGGACCAGACCTGGACCAGAACTGGATCAGAACTGGACCAGAACTGGATCAGAACTGGACCAGAACTGGATCAGAACTGGACCAGAACTGGACTCACTGAACCTGAACTGGATCTGAACTCGATCAGAACTGGACCTGAACTGGACTCAAACTGGACTAAAACTTGACCTGAACTCGACTTAAACTGGATCAGAACTGGACTTAAACTGGACCTGAACTGGACTTAAACTTGACCTGAACTGGACTTAAACTGGACCTGAACTGGTCCAGAGCTGGACCTGAACTGGACCTGAACTGGACCTGAACTGGACCAGAGCTGGACCTGAACTGGACCTGAACTGGACCTGAACTGGACTCAAACTGTACCAGAACCATAATAAGGTCCACCTTGTTACTACATCATACTATAAATAACTTAACCTGAAGCAGCTTCTTGGAAAAGGGGAGGGGCCGTAGTGTTGCTATGATACTGTTACTATGATACTAACTCGTCCAACTCCAGTTCAATAATTATAAAGGGACTTGATGCTCCATACTTATTTCAATACAACATGATTATTTAAAATGCATATGGCTGCAATTTACAATTTTCTGTATTCCCAGTTTACAATTTTACATTTTTCTCCGTTTTTGGTGGAATGACATAAGAAGTTTTAAATTGATAAAGTCACTGATTACACTATAAATAGATTCTGTAGTCATCCTGAAATATGGCACAATTTAAAACAAATGTTATCAATTCACTTTGTACCTTTGGCGAGGCGATCTTGGGTGCCCAGAAAAGCACCATATACTGTAAACAAATTGTATTATCGTCATTATTATTATCAGTCACAACAACTAATCACGTTTCTCCAATAGAAGAAATCTCACATCAGTGTCCTAAACAGCTAATTGTAGAGAATATACACAAGAAACTAATAATCGTTCATCTTGTTTATGTAATTATTTTAGATTTTCAATGCTTTTTACAACCCTTTTACTATCAATATTTTACTATTCACTTCTTTTCTCAGTCCAATTATCGACACTGAACGAGTGGAAAGTCAGTGTAGATCCTTGCGTCACTATTGAAGGAGGAATGGGACAGAATTTCCACAGGACGAGATTAAATAGTGTCAAAAGTTTCATGTTCTTCCAGTGTGTGTTTGTTTGTTTTACTCTTTAGCAATGAATCAATTAATAACAGATTTACCAATGTGCTAGAAACACACATATACACAGAAAAGGACATAGCAAGATTATTCTATAAATACTAGACTCAGAATCCTTGTTATTGCCATGTGAGTAACAGGAAGTCACAAACTAGGAAATTAGGAAAACACAAGTTCTCTTTGATAATGTCCGATTCTCTTCATATCATTTCTTTCAATTATCTATTTTTCCGTCCATTTATTTAACCCAGATTTGGTCCAAGCCAAACAAAAATGCTGCGGAGAAGGTTTTGTGACAAACTTGTGGAACGAGATCTTGTCCCTATACTTACTGTAATTGAATAGATGTTTAAACCTGTATTCATAATTAGCCAGGATTCTTTGATGCTGTAATATCAAAAAACCGCACGAGTTTCTGACCTGAGCTCCGTTATTTCGCTAAAAAGGCTTGTGCAAAACCAGCCTTAGCAGAGTGGACTCCACACGCACGGAGATGTCTAGTGTCTGTCGTGTCCGTTCATGCCTTTATGTTTTTGTAAATCTATTCGCTCTTACTGCGTTTCCTCAATTCTATGCAAAGTGGAGGAGCGCAGAAGTTTTACAGGCAGGGAATAAATACGCCACCAATTTCTATCAACAGCATGTGATCATTAGTAACGGTTGTTAACTGTGGGAAATCCCAACCTGCTTATGAATGAAGACATACCATTGTCATTAGCAAAAAAGAAATTCACAAGTTTCAGACATTATATTTTCTACAATATATTTATAATCTTTAGAATTGTAGAGAGAATTTGTTGCATGTACTGCTGTTGTTTTGATTTTCTCAGACGATGTGTTCAACCAGATTTCAATATTAAAAAGTAACTGACACTCATGTCAAATACAATGCTATATTTGACACAGAATTAAAGGTGATATTGAGGTGATATTTTCCTGGTTGAAAGAGCATGTCTCTCGCACAGACGCGTTGTAGAGAGAGAGAGAGACGGACGCCTGTGGACAACTGCAGTGGCTCAGATAGCAGGAGCCACTGGTCAGCTGCTTTCATCTGACCCTTTTCATGTGGCTGCTCTCTTCACCTCTGTCCTCTGTTCTATTTACTCTACATGATTAAAAAAGCTCTTTGAACATTTGCACATTTCTTTGTATGTTTCCATGAAAATACAATGATGCAACATGGTGGATGGTTCTTGTCTTTTTTATATAAAGCTTCACTATTATTCTATTTTAAAAAGAGCTCAAATTATCTCCTGCTTTTTCCATTTATTTCATGGGGAATAATCACAGATGTTACTATCACTAATGTTTTACCTTTACTTGAGAATAAATATAGGCTAAAGTGTGTTTTATATCTCTTTCTTTTGAAGCATTAACATGTAACATCACCATCTGCAAACACAGAAGAGCTTTCTTCTTCTGGGTATTTTGGGGAAAAACTATAAAGACCCTGAAAAGCGTCGCTTCCAAAATACATTCATAAAATTATGCCCTGGTGGAGAATAAACGCAGTGTGTGGATCCACATTTAGTGACCGCAGGCCTCGCTCCACAAGGCGCGTTGTGTGTGCACAGAGGCGCTCTGTCCAGGTGCCACAGGCGCGGGGTTACGCACAGGTCGAGGCGCACGCACAGACGCACAGAGGCACATGCACAGACGCACAGAGGCTCACGCACAGACGCACAGAGCAGCTTTATCCGAACATTCAGCCACTGCAGCTTTTCATGATTTTGTTTGAAGAGATTCACACAATAAAACATGTCTGTGATCGGACACTGCTGCGCCTCAGAGCTGTCCACAGCTTTAGCACTTACGTCTTTCCCTCTGTGTCCCGTTAATCAGAAACACCGGGACCTCACGAGCACGAGTAGGGCACGAGAGCTCACAGGTGCGCGCGGACACCGGGGGCTCGTTTAACACGACTCTGCGCGTGCACGGGACCACAGGCGACTGCATTATGTAACTTCAGAAATGGGGCCACTAAGAATCGGGGCCTGTATTGATCCAGAATGCAATGCTTTCAAAATTGTGTAATTCATATTTGTTCTGATTTCACAAAATTATAAATAAATAAATGAGACAAGTTGTTATTGAGGTTTCTTACCCATAAAAACATGAACAAAAGAATTATACATAGGCCTAAATAAAGCACTATTTTTGACTGAGAGTAAAGTTTGTACAAACATTGCTGTTTTTCGATACAAATAATGTCTCTGATTTATGGCTCTGCGTAAAGCGGAGCGTGCTGCGCATTTTAAATTAGAGAAATGTGACGTCACTGTTGCGTTAACTGTTGTCATGTTGTGAATAGTTTCGTCTGAACTTTGACTTGACCTTTGCACACTTCACTCACGTCTTTCTGCAACACTCCGCACGTGCACGCGGCTGATGGAGACGTGGCTCTGAGTCTGAGGACATCAACACACATTAGAAATGTAACATCAGTGTCCATCATCAGACTTTTTTTATATTTTCTTTACCGTGTTGATGCTTTAAAAATAACGGTTGAGAAACAATAAAAAAATATTAAAAAAATATTTTCAAAGTAGGCTGTAATTGTGCACGTGCATTTTCAACTGAAAAATATAGACTAGATTCCTAGAACAAATTAAAACAAAAAAAGGTTTGATCCAATTAAAGTAATAATATTAAATCATATTACTCGACAGCAGTCATGCGCACGTGCAGAGCTTGCATTTGGATCAATGCATCGTAAATCACATGTTTTTAGTAAGTGTTAAAGTAACCTGTTTTAATCACATTCATAATGACATGGATTTTGAAATTGCTCAAACCCTAAATGTTTGCAATGTGCATCTATAGATGTATCTGTGTGTATCAGATATACATGTTTAACGTGTGTGTTTGTGTACTCTAACACTAATATACATTTGTAAATTGATTAATCCATGAATTCATTGTTTTGGAATAGAACCATAACTGCACTGTCTTCTCTGCGCGCCCAGTGTTGCCTTCTGCGGTCCGCGCTGCTCCTGCCCGGGCCCCTCAGCATCATGGGAGCCGTACGTGTGATTGGGTTTTATTTCTTCCTGCTCCTGCTCCATTCTGTGGCAGCGCCATCAATCTCTGCACTAACGCGACATTTGTTTACGAGCGGGCGCGCGTAAAGGCGCGGCGTTCATAATGGCTTTTATTATGAGAGCGGAGCAGCAGATCCCAGCCCCGATACACTTCTGGGAATGTCTGGAATTTGAGGTTTTTGATTTAGTTTTTGTCTGAGCATTTCAAAAAGCCTTTACAATATAATCTATGTATTCTAAGCAAGTATAAATATAATTTTGGGTAGTTTACAATTGCACCAGACGATCCTGATCAAATGGCTTCAATGATTAAAATATGTTTTGATTTGTTTTGTCTAGAAAAAATATTTGCAATTAAATATATTTTCTCTTAATTCATTAAGCATATTAAGTTAAAATAGTTGTTTGTTCTCAATACACGTTTAACACTAGATTTAAGAAAATAACAGGCCTATTATTTTGTTTATTTCTCAAAGATTAAAATCATAAATCAATTGGGAAAACTGTTTTTAAGAGTGTATGTCTGCAGCTTTGGAAACGACTTTTCTGAGAGTGTGCATTGGAATGGATTGAATTCAGTCAAAGCCGAATGACATTGAATTGTAAGGCAAAACAAAACAATAATAAATATAGGTCACATGTGCTTGTGTGTGTTTCCAGAAAATTACTTCAATTAAGACTAGGGCGAGGCTATGTAGAATAATGCATATAATTCAATACAAATTTACTTCTGAGATTTATTCAGTGTGTGAGTGCGTGTGTGTGATTTTTCTTATAGGCTTATACACACACACATATATATTTACTTAGGCAATTGCTGCTTTGAGATATTGACAAATGTTCTTGGACACTAAGACATGATAATAAAAAAAAAATGTGACAAGTGGAACGACCTCCATTAGCAATGAAAACACAATATGGCGCAGTGTGTGTTGCCGCCTTCACGCTGCAGGGTCACGCAGCAGAGAAAGGGCCCGAGTCACGTCACAAAGCTGTGCGTAAAATCCCTTTCATTTAAACACATATAAAACTAAGTGTTCAAATTTGCATTGAATTTCAAACCCTGCATTAGAATAACTTGTGTTTAATATCATTCATACACACTTTACACCCGCGTGCCAATTCTGTTTAAAACGCATTTCTTAAAAAAAAAAAAAAAAAAAAGGTAAAACAAAGAGGCGTGAATTTAGCTCACATACAATGACAATTTATTTAAACAAACAAAAACAAATCCTTCAGAAAGAGAGAAAAAAATATCTAACAAAGAAAAGGCTTTGAAAATATAGTATGGCGATATACACTTTCCATTTGTACTTATTTCAACAATAATGGCACAATAAATCTGGACAATTCAATTTGGAAACACGTCCTTTGGTGTTTGGTCCTTATAATATCCGACTACACTTATAATAAATTACTATATGCAATTTACACGTCCATGAAAACTGGCATGGGCCCTGCGTAAAAAGTCACAAAAGAGAGACTTACGTGCTCATTTGACAACAACATCGCGTCAGTCAGTTGCGCAGCGTTTTCTGTCTCTTACACAGTCCATAAGTGGGATTTTTCTCCTGTTCTTTTGGTTTTTTTTGGTCAGAACTTGCTACAGTCGTACACAAACGCCCCAGACGCCCTATAGATGGACTGACTCGGTGGGAACGACATCTGACAGCTGTTATTCCCGTTCACCGGCGAGTTATTCAAACCAATCCTTTGTGACTCAAACATTTCTCTAACCGAGTGAAAGTTCTGCTGCTGGGATGGATACGCCGCGCCCAGGTGCCCCAGATCTCCCGCTTGATTCAGGTACCAAGACGCCAACCTCCCCTGGTGATGATGCTGGCCCTCGTTCGCCGCGTTCAAATTACCGTGCGACAGAGACCCCGTGGAGGTCGTGACTGCGTAATCTGGCAACGTCTCGTCCACTGCTCCCGTTGCCAAATGCCCCGACCGATCCCCCGCGTATAGACTCATCGCCTGCATGTTGCAATGGTACGTGGCGTTGGAGGTAGTGGAGTTCTGGCTGCACTGGGAGCCGTACACGGACGTCTGCGTGGGGGAATAGTTCAAAGACAGCGACGGCGTTCTGGAGGCCACCAAGTCCGACTGTGCGTGGGGAGACCCGCGCAGAGACGTCATGATGTTGTCCACGCTGAATCCCTGCGTAGAGGCCTGGACGTGAGGGTGCTGCTGCTGCTGTTGCTGCTGCTGCTGCTGCTGCTGCTGCTGGCTTGGGTGCGCATGGTGCTCTGGTGTGTCTATGCCAATGGAGCGGGTGGATTGCATGCTGTGTGGGCTGCCGCTTGACATGCTGCTGCTGCTATCTGGGCTTTCGATTTTCGGCAACGGGTTAAGCGAGGGAGATTCGGCCTGAGGAGGCGTCATGGCTCCGTTTTCAGTTTTGATGTCCTGAATGCGCACTGGCTGCTCCTGGTCTCGGCCTTGCTGTTGCTGGGACTGCTGCTGGGACTGCCTCGCTGTTGGGGTCGGTACCTCCTTCTGCAAGCGCTCCTCTTTCTCCTTCATCGCGTCCTTCTTCTTAAAGCGACGTCTTCTTCTCAAAAAGCTGCCGTTCTCAAACATATTGTACGAGTCCGGGTCTAGCGTCCAGTAGCTGCCCTTACCGGGTTTCTTGTCATCTCTCGGGACTTTGACGAAGCACTCATTCAGCGACAGGTTGTGTCTGATGCTGTTTTGCCAGCCCTGCTTGTTATCGCGATAAAACGGGAACCTCTCCATGATGAACTGATAAATTCCGTTGAGTGTCACCTTCTTGTCCGGAGAATTCTGAATGGCCATAGTGATGAGAGCGATGTAGCTGTAAGGGGGCTTCACCATGTCCTTAGGCTGAGGCTGAGGGGTGTACGGTCCATACGCGCGGGCCATGCCACCCGCGTATTGGTCGTGAGCGGCGTGGGAGTACATGTTCATGGCAGCGGGCATTCCAGTGTAGCCTCCTCCAGCTGCGGCCGCTCGGTAATAGCTGGGATCACCGCCGATGTATGGCACGACCCCTAAAGAGTTGGGGCTGGAGACGGAATAGCGCGCCTGCATCTTTTCAGCGTATGCAAAAACCAAATTCTATATACTGTCCAAATATCACTAGGAAGGATCAGAAATATACGTGAGCGGGTTCTGGATCAGGCCGTCCCCATCTCGCTCTCCGCTACTGCGCTCTGGAAACTCTGCTGAACTTTGGAGCGTCCGTGCGCGCACACAAGTTTTTGCGCAGTTAAATTCTTTCCTCCTTTTTGGAGCCTGTGGAGTGTTGTAGAGCTCCTCCCTTAAAAGCAAAAAGGCGTCCAATGAGAGGCCAGGCCCAGCAGAGAGAAGGGAGAGAGAGGGGAGAGAGGCGAGCGGGATTGAGGTGGCGTCCACTCCAGCCCACTGTGGACGTTTGACGTGACAGAACTGTTCAAACAGGCGTTTTTCTTGTTTCACAAGAAAAATGAAACAAAAATGCTTTAAATCACCAGCGCCATGATGATTCTTTAAAGTTATATGAGGATTATCCATGCAATAATTGAATACGTATATTTATATAATTTAAATATTCATTGTTTTCTAGTTGTTGTTGTTATTATTGTCGTTGTTTTTTGTTTGTAAAGTGGATTACAGGGTTTTACAGGGTAACATTACGGACCATTTTTGTTATTTACTCTATTTACATTAGGCCCATACAAATACTAATGCTATACCACTGTTATTTACTAGGCCACACTAATAATATAAGAATAATAATAATAACAATAATAATAATGATGACGATGATGATGATAATGATACTGATAATAATTGATTGCAGATGAATAAAGTGTATAGCTAAATGTTATAGCCACAATCAGCATTATTTATGACTTGAGCGCGCGAGCCATATGCTGCAGTTACGCATTGGATCAAAGCACCTTTTGCTCATTAGCAGTGGGTGTTGAAATGGCATGTCGTTAAGATGTGAATCACCAAAAGACATGGCAGGAAAAAACACCAAATATCCTCAATATAAAGAAATTGTTGACCATTATGATAGATAGATAGATAGATAGATAGACATTTTTTGACCCCCGTACAGGAGAAATTCAAGTGTCCAATGGCAGCAAAAAAACGCAAAAAAATAAATAAATCTTAAAGTTTACAGCTAATAGTAATAATACGTGTAACGAATAAGAACAATAATGAACTAATAACGTTTTTGGAGCTGAGATCCATTGTGTTCTTTGGGCCGTTTCGCACAGTGGCGTGAATTTCAGTCCCAACACTGCGGAATCCCGCGTATAGTCTTAATGAAACGTGCGTGAGCCGTTTGGGTTTCTCCTTACACGGACCCGGGCCTGAACTCTGCCCCCTCTAGCGCCCACACCCCCGGGGCCTCTGAGCTGTTTACACTCCGCGAGGACCGGGCCTTTCACTGATCCGCTCCCTGCCACCCAGACCTCTGCAGGGGCCTCGAATCTGCCATGGACAGAGGCTGCAGTGGAGGTTTAGGCCCGTGGAAATGAAAAAGACAAATAAAAAGAGAAATGTGTCTTTGTATTTTTTACTAATTTGTTTTTTTCATCGATAGGCCGTAGACCTAGAGCTCTAGACCGTAGTGTAGAGCTCAACCAAAACTAAATCCAGCACGTAAAGACCAGCGTTTATTTTATTTATCATCTGATGCTTCGCCATGTATCTTTCTCTCATGGTACAACGTTTTGATTTAGCAGAAATACACAATTACAATAGCTTACGCAGTTTTGAATAAACAAATGTTGTTTTGTTAAATTTTAATAACACATTGTCTGCATCTGTAATTTAATTTGATATTGATAAAATCATAGCTGGGAAACAAGTTAGGCCGATATGTCTGAGGGAACGTGACCTTTGGCAGCCAGAAGACAACTGTGAATGGGCTGGTGCCTTGTTGCCCCCGTGTGGCTGTAAAGTGTACAGCATCCTCTCTGTTCTCAGACTCCTCAGAACGTAAAGTGCTGAAAACGTGATATGACACCTTACTCGGTGATTGTAAAGATGACTGAAAGACTATAATTACTCAGATTTTAAAATTAAATGGAAAGACAATCATACCTTTGACTTTGTTCTTCTTTCCGTCTTACCTGACCTTGACATTTTAAGTTGTTAAAAACAGGGGGTTGTACACGTAATTTAAGTGACCTTCAAAAGTTGAATATAACTGGATCAAACCTGGAGTAAACAAAGGATTATATACATTGTGCTGCAGTCGACGATGAAAATTCTATATTGGCCTATGTGTGTATCCACATTTACATGACGGCTCCCATTAAAATCTATAGGAATAGAAATAAACATATATATTTTTTTATTATTAACAAAAAATAACAATTGTAAACCGCTTTATGACTCTGGTCTGAAAGGTGGTATATAAATAAAGATTACTTACTTACATACTTACTATGGTAACTAACACTTGCTCCTTAAGATGAGATTGCTCTGACTCAGTCCAGGAAAAGTCCAGAATTTCATAAACATAATTGTAGAAATAACATATCTACGATACAGAAAAAGTCCATAAGTGAAGCCCAAAAATGTATAGCGGAATAATTACACTTCCAAAATAAAAAGCCGTCAAATTGACTGGTCTAGGAGTTCTAGTGTTATACGTCCTCTATGGAATCTCTCTTGATATCTCATTGTACAGATGCACTTATACGAATCAAGGGGACAGACGCTCATTTGTCTATTCAGAAACCACTGCTGCCCTCTTTTGGTAGACAGTTGTAAACACGTTTCATGTCTCTCAGATTTTTACAAGGCTGTAAATGTAGAAAAAATCACTTCGTCTATGTTGGATTAGGCCACTGTGTGAGCAAAATGAATGTGTCTGAAGCTAAGCTCATGGAACCCAATATTCTGGTGGTTAATGTTGGGAGAGTATACGGAACGATGGCTGTTCGGTTTATTACAAAACATTTCTTTTAGAATCTTTTCATTTTGTATTTTATTGTATTTGTATTCATTCCAACTGTGCACTGGATGCCCCTTCTTTGTCTGAGGGAAAATAAAAATAATATAGTTCCCTTCAAAACCAGTAGATGGCGCCAACGATCTGTGCTGCGCTCATGGATGTTTTGCTGCTGCGCTTTGGTTGATCGTTCAATTAATATAAATTCATTCGTTTATCTCTGTATATAATTATATTGACTTTGGGGCCACAATTAGTAATAAATTCAGGAGTAATACAGAAAATGCATAAGAGTAGGCCACAGACAAGTGTAATGTGAGCCTTGCCTTGAATCCTCAGACATTTTGCATCCGCTTTACTGGGAACAACAATCAATACATAATTTTTTTGTTTTATTATTAATAATACAAATACAAATTTAAAAATTCACTACAATAATGACCAATTCAACAAGAAACATATTGTCCAAGCCAGGGGAAATTTCTCAGGCCCGCATTTGACTGATATAAAATGTAGGCCACTCTTTCGTGAAATACTTTTCAAAGTGTTTTATTATCATCACTAAAACCTTCAATTACTCAATGCAAAGGCTGTAAAATCGAATTGTTGAACCCATGGTCACACAAGACAGGATTTGATGTCATAGCTGCTCCTGTGGAAGAGGCTCTGGTTCTGAGTCTGGTACGAGCTGCTGTTGGCGCAGGACAGAAGCTCCTTTCGGTCGCAGGAGGAGGTCAGACGGAGATTTCCCACTGAAGACACACACACACATTATTAAAAATGTATCTCCATGAGTCAATTCATTCCTCATCATGATAATCACATTCTTCTTTCTGAATATTTTAACGCCAATTGATCCTTTTTATTTAAAATAAAATAAACGTATCGTGGCAATTGACATTATATTTGCTGATATTTTTGTATTTAGATATCAATCAAAATGTCGAAATGTTGTAAAAAAAAAACGCCGTGCGTGAAACTCGATTTCATGCGTAAAACAAACTTTTGCTCACAGTACATGTATTGGTGTGCTCAAAATTGATTGTCGTGCTGTAAAAATAATACACAGTTACAATAAATGTATAAGATGCCAGATACCATTTACGTCTTGAGCGCAGTGATGCAAGTAACTCTGGTCCAGAGACGTGGATGCTGGATCTTGGGACTGTTTGATGTACGACATGAGGCCAGAGGACGTGCAGTGTGAGGGTCCAGTCTTGTAGAGGGAGTCCCCGCAGAGCTGAGAATCTGGACCATTGTCCGCGCAGCCACCGGCCGCTGGACAGAAGTATGGGGAATTTGTTATTGTGCTCAGACCCTCATATCCACCTGTGCCTGTGCCCATGAGGTCTATATTATACCCACTGTGGTGGGTTAAAGAGCCAGAGGAATGGAAATCAAAAGTCCCGGGATGCACAGAGGCACCAAACCCCATGCCACTCATCACCCGGTACATGGGCCTCAGCGCCTGGCCCTTTCTCCGGAAGCCCCGCGGTCTGCGTCTGAAGGAACCCTCCTCGAACATAAACTCACTGCTGGGGTCTATAGTCCAGTAGTGACCCTTCCCGGGCCTGCCCAGGCCTTTAGGCAGCTTTATGAAGCATTCATTCAGAGACAGGTTGTGTCTCACAGAGTTCTTCCATCCCAGGTATGCGCCTCTGAAGAAGGAAAAGTGCGCCTGTAAAAACTGGTAGATCTCACTGAGAGTCAGTCTTTTACTGGGTGAGTTCTGGATAGCCATGACAATCAAAGCAATATAAGAATACGGGGGCTTCTCCGGGCGCCGAAGTCCTGTTTTGCCTTTGGAAGTGTCGAGTGCGCTCTCCATCACTGCCTGCGCGCTCATAGGGCACTGACCAAGGAGTTGTCCAACTGTGGATGAGGGTTTGGTCGTCAAAGTTAACCGCGACCACAAAAATGATATACTCGCGGGGTTCACCTGGTCCTGATCAATCCTTCCCCTGGTCTATATCTGTGTCCATTCCTGCAGCTATTGAAGAACCATCAGTCAAGAAAGTGCCTCTCCGTGGATCAGCTTCGTGTTGCAAATCTCTCCATGAAATCTGAAGTAGCTGCCCCCACCCCTGATCCAAAGAGAAGCTGGAAGTGGAAGGAGACAAATCCCCTCCCACTGCTTTTTCCACACGCAAAAATAGAGAAGTCTTTGTAAAAATAAACAATACAAATAAATGTGCGCGGTTCTTTGTGCTCTGCCCCTTGGTTTCATGCAGATGATGTTGGCTTTGTTTGGGGTCTGCTCTGACTCTGCCATGACAATGTTGCACCAGAACAGACCATAGTTTATACCACCCACTAGGGTACTCTGGGCAGCAGGGGAGAGATCTTGATGAAGTTTAGTGGGTAAAATAACACTAATGCGCATTGAATTAAGACAATGTGGACACTGAAACAGTGTTTACCGCATTTAAGAGAAACACATCATATAGATTCAGATTCTGATTCTGATACTGCGATATATGAATATCTGTCTTAATGGCTTTGTTTAAAACAAACAGACGAACAGAGAAAGGCTCAGACCACATGTGAAAAACATTAAGTTGATGTTTTAAATTAAATCATATAGGCCTATAATGTACTATACAAATAAAATGTATTCTTTCTACTTAGTTTGAGCATTTTAATTCGTATACAATAATTACTCAATAAAATGTTATTTGACAACGGAAGTACACAAAATATAATTTATTAATATTTACAATAATAATATTGCTCAGAAACAAAGTGAAATACATAACATTCTACAGAAATATGCACTGCTGTAAATCCAAACCTGCGACAGTCTCAGGCTGGACTTTGACCAAAGTTGAAAAATGTCACTTTTCAGTTTGTGAATGTTACGTCAAATGACTCGGTCAGGGACGTAATAGAACGCAGCAGGCTGCTCCACCTGCGTCATGTGTCCAGTGTGACGCCAGAGGACGGACGGCTGCAGATGTGGCGGTGCGTGTCTGGTCACGGGGCTGCTGAGGATGCTGTCTATGGAGAAAGAGCTGGAGAACTTTGCTCGAGGCTCAGATTTCACAAAGTGTCCAGAAAAGTCTTCTTCCCTGAGTCTTTTATTGAGACGTCTCCTTCTGCGCGTGAACACGCCGTCTGCAAACGTGTAATCGCTCTGAGGGTTCAGCATCCAGAAGTTGTCTTTCCCCCAGGGACGCGCAGGGTCCCGCAGCACTTTGATGAAGCAGTCGTTCAGAGACAGGTTGTGGCGCACGGAGTTCCTCCAGCCCGTATAGCTGCCTCTGAAGAAGGGGAACTTGTCCATCAGGTAATCGTTAATGTCTGCTAACGTGATGCGGCCACTCGGGGAGTCGCGTATGGCCATGGCGATGAGCGCGATGTAGGAGAAGGGCGGCTTGCCCCTCCGTGCGTAAGGCTTGGGTTTACTGGACTCTGCAGTGACCGGTGACGGGCTGCGCGCTGCTCTGTCCCCATCTGAGCTCAGCTCCTCGTCTGCTTTGAGGCTGTAGTGGCCTCCGTACATCACCTCCAGCTTCATGTTCAGTGTTCTCCCGTTACCACCTGCTGAGGCTTTCTCACCTGTTGCTTCAAAGCAGCGCCTTTTATCCAGCTCACCTCAGCCCAGCCCTGAGTGGGAGAGGCCAAATCACTTCTAAAGACTTATAGACAGACACTTGTTAAAAGGTTTCCATTGCGTGCGTGTCCTGACTATAACAAGCTGCGGTTGTAACTGTCTTGAATAGGTGCCATAAACTGATGTTTAGGTAAGTATTCTCAAAAGAACACCATGGTGGCCATAAACGTTTATTACATTAACAGTTAAACCCTGGCTGGGAACAGCAGAGATGCATGCTGCTGATGGGGGTTATATATTCATATACTGTAGCCATAGCACAGTTAAATAAATAATATTAACATTTGGTATACTATAGTGGGACAACTATTTCTTCATACATCATTTTACAAAAGGAACAATAAAAATGATTGGCAGCAGGGCGGGACCATTGTTCTAATCCAGATTACACGGAGTTACAGTTATCACCTGATCATGTTGTGTGTTGGAGACATGGATCTATTGGTTGAGGGTGTTTCCGTTTGCATTCTCCTGTCATTCCACCAGAGACAGCTTTTGTCCGATATCTTAACTTCATGCTCTATTCAACATGTGGAATTATGTACCAGGGAAGTCACATTTAATTATAGATATATATCTTGCTGTTGGTAGTTCAGTCTTTGTTTGAAGCAGCAATAATATGACAGTGATTTTTTTCTAAAACAATATTAATTTATCTTCATTATGCTCACAAAGGACTGAACAGATGGAAGCATTTGCATGGGATTAGTTTTTCATTCACCCTGGAGTCAGCAACCAGAATTATTAAAAGTTAAATTTTGCCCTCTCCTCTGAGAAAGAGTCGCAAATGAACACATTTCACTTTTAAAGTATTGTTTCTCTTTCTCTTTGATACCATTGAATACAAAAAACAGGCATCACAGATTAAACATGTATAGGAAATATTAAGCGTGCAGCTGGGCATAGTGTGACATTGAGGATCTTTAATTCTGATTCTGATTTAAACGACCACTGTGGTAATAGAAATACAAAAACTATACACACAGAGGAGGCTGATGTATCCTCTAATTCCCCTTTACAAGCTTATCATAGACATTTAAATGCATCAGAGAAAATAAGAGCAATCTACAAACAAAGGAAATTTTTGTTAAACACTTTGATTCAAACTATTTATGTAAAAAAAAATACGTCATGATAAAAAATCTGACTGGTCACTGTTGAATTCAGGAGGGCGGGATTCAAGCATGTGACAGCTACATCTCCACAATAAGTCGCATTTACTCCGAGGACTTTTCGCGTGTCAAAATCGCCATAAATCCTAACACATTTATCACCAATCAAGCAAAAATTACCGTAAACAGCAAATGTGCAGCTTATGGTGAAACATGACATTTTCCTAGCCTTATTTTTCATACTCAAACATGAATTCTTCCCAAATATAATCCACGTGTGTAAACGAGGACGGGAAAACACAAACTAAAAGCTTACATTTTGATAAATATGTTCATTTCCTTGTTGTTTCTTTTCATACCGCCACGTGCCCATGTTCGACTCGCACGATCACACCCTGAGGATATTATGTAAACAAGGCAACAAGTCAATTAGTTACCAATAAATATACATCTTATAATAGCTCAGTGTGATTGTGGTCCCTCCCACGGTTCAACTCACCCTGAAAACATAATAGCTTAGTTTTTTTATGACCTGACAATTACTATTGGTACATCAAACCTTCCTTAACTCTCTCGGTCACATGGAAAAATCGCCCTCACAATCCCAATTTAAAAACCTGTTGTGTTGACACCATGGCGTATTGCATTCCGAGGAGTTCACCTTTTGTCAGCCTTATAGCATGAGCTGTTTTTGCGCAGGTTACTCATGTTTGCGCTGGTGTGACTGTTTTGATTGTGCGTTAATAATAATGTTTGTTTAGCGCACACACTCCCTCGCATTGAAAGAGAGTGTTTTGAAAGGTGTACATGTCAGAAGCTATGATCCTGTAATCTGACCGCACAATGACAGCCTGCGTTTAGCTCGTCCCTAGCCTCATGAGCACAGATGTGTCAAAACACACGTAATCTGTGCGGATCAAGCAGTGGAAGAGGAGATTATGGGTATTGGAATAAATGTTGCATGATTTTTAAAATTGTATCTATGGTCTAAGTGAGGTTTATAATGAGAATGTATTAATTCAGGTTTGTTGTGCCTGATATTCTTGGATTTCATATGACGTCAGGGCAGTGGCACGAATAATAAATGTAGGACAGGACGTGACGTACCCTGGCGGTGCAGTCTGCCGGGTATATACACAGAGATATAGTAGAAAAGAAGCGCTGTCAAAATGCCATCTTTTTGTGCGGTGTACGCTTGTAGCAACCGCACAAGGTGTTCCAACCGTGGTCTCATATACAAAGGAGGACACTTCGAAAAAATCACTCGAATGAGGTGGCGAGGTGGATCAAGGCTTTCCCAGATTAGCGCCCCCTGCAGGCCACCTGAATGAAACGCAGCAATTTCTTCTGTTTTTCTTTCAAAAAATGCCCGAAATCAAGACTCTTTTGAGAAATATTTTTAGTACCCCCTCAGAATTGAGTGTCCCCCTCCCAATTAAGACTGTTACAACAACCGTACACCGCACAGGAAGAGAGCCTTTTGACTCCAAAACAGGCACGGTTTACATGGTTTTCAATGGGAGCAAAACTGGGTTGTCCCATCCCTGCTTGTTCGCCCCCTACTGGCCAGTTTAAGGAAACCCAAGAATATATTCAGGACTAGCCTAGCCATAGCCATCCGTACACTCCGCTCAATCATCATTTCACTGCATGTAACGGTCTGGGTCTGGTCCCTGTGTTAGAGATTACAATCGGTCGTATTTCGACCGGCTACTCAGAGAGCGCGTTGTAGGTCGGTGCCAGTGACGTCAAGAGTTTGCGCCGAACGGGCAGGTTGTTGTTTGGTAATGGCGAAAAATGCGATAGTAAAGTAATCCGGTCTGGTTCTATCAAGAAATTGAAGCAGGAACAAGAGGAATGTTTAGCAAATGTAATCGCTGGTCAAGATTGTGGCGCTACTGCCCACGGGCTCCGTTAGCAGCAAAGGAGATGGCTAGGCTAAATGCTAACAACACACTCGGGCGCATTACATACGTCACAGTAAACTCAGATCCAATCGTTTCAATCTGCAAAAGGAGTTAACCCCTCCCACCTGTTCACGGAGCTCAATGGAGCAAATCCAGACCTTAGTATGAAATTAAATTTGTACTAAGGTGTGGTACAACCAGGCTAATTCAGGACCGGTGTTCTGTCGAAGTGGTCTGCCCGTCGAGATGATCTCCCTCAGCTGTTAATGATGTAATGCAAACCTGCGCGTCTCATGGCAGCCGAGGCAATCCAAGATGGCGGACATGAAGTCTGCGAATTGCTTTAAAAGTTAAAATACGAACGAATGAAGACACAAATGTCACTTTTAATGCAATTTGAGGCGAGATGTTGATGGTTCCGTGCTGTGATATGTGGGATTTAAGAGTAAGAGTTTTGTGTAAATTTTGTTTTAAGCAGCTATGTTAATTGGCGACAGTAGCTCAGTTGGTAGAGCATTGGCCTTTGAGCCAGAGGGTCGTGGGTTCGAGCCCGACCTTCACCATCGACTCCCACTGTCTGCTGTCATTGTGTCCTTGGCAAGACACTTTACCCCCATTGCCTAGAATGAGTCTGGTGTGTGTGTGAATGGTTGGTGGTGGTCGGAGGGGCCGATGGCGCATACTGGTTGCCTCGCTTCTGTCAGTGTGCCCCAGGGCAGCTGTGGCTACAGTAGTAGTTTATCACCACTGTGTTTGGAGTGAATGAATAATGACATGTAAAGCGTCTTTGAGTGGCCAATATGTATATATATATATATATATAAAACCGATGCATTATTATTATTATTAATTTGAAATGGTTTTACTAACATTTTTTTCACTGTTGAATTCGGACAATACATATTCATTAACATGTCAGCAAACATAAATAGGATGAAATTAGCACAATAGGTAAACTGCATTCTAATTCAGAAAAAACAAACAAACAAACACAGTTCAACACCAAACTTTTTTGTTTTGCAATAAATAACCCAACAATGAGATTACTTATTTGTATTTATTTTTCATCCTTTTCGAATGTGTTTTTATGTATATGTCTTTCTGATATGGACCTTTAACTCTTGTGTCCAAAATAAATTATTGAATTGAATTGAATTATCTATCTCTCTATTGAAATGTTTCTCGCTATGGCATGAACAAATGTAGCAGCGGATGCCACACCGGATCCAAAATGATACACAAAAGGTACAACAACAGGGGCTCATCAAATCAAAGGGTGGGTCTGAGGTACAGAAGGAAGAAGAGGTGGAGACACATTTGCAGAGGAATCTTGTATTTTAGGTCACGTTGGACTGAGGTTGTTTCCAAATGTCTGTCTATGTCTGTTCCATCAGAGTTATAACTTTCTCTCTTTCACCTGGGCTCACTGAGGTCTCTGCTTTTCCTCTATTTGCTCGAAGCTCGCTCACAATCTGTTTGCACAGTAGCACAGAAATTACCACTCCTAATCCATCTAATACACGCTGTTCCATCAAAATAAACAAATGAACACCAAGAAAATCATCTAGAGGGATTTTCCAATGACTTGTGAAAGAGAAACTGACAGACAGACTAAGATGACAACAGAAGAGAGAGGGAAAATGTAGGATTTAAAAAGGAAATCTATGTACTTTTTTTAATCCACCGTGCTAGATCAGGCTACTGGGAGGTGTGGTGCCTTTTATGTCCCAGAGGTTTAACGCAAAGATTAAAAAATAAAGTTACCAATAAAATGAATTTTATCCAAGAAACAGAAAGAAACATGTGTATTTGCATAGAACACAAGAAAATATTTTTTAAAAGTACATTATTCACATTTTTATGGGTGGTTGAGTATCAGATGGCA